ACCGACAACCATTGTGGCTCATTGACGCGCTCTCGCAACGGATTCATTGTACTCTCTGCGCCTCTTCACTACTCACTCCCCAAGTTTCACGTCTATATTATAGTCATTGTTCTATGCATCCAATTTTAGATGCGTTGCATGATTTGACAATTACTCAATGAGAGAGCTCTCTGAGGGTTCCTTGCGCAGATGTTCGAACGTTCAATTTAAAGTTTTTAACGCGTCAATGGGAAAATAAAAATGGAATTTATCTTCGAGTTACGAACGGCCAATTTCTGATTGTTTGATAGTCGATACTTGAGCATAATTTTCTTCAGCGCAATATAGTATCGACAACAATAATCATTGTCAAGTAAATAATTTACATATCATTCTCAAAAGTAAATATAACCGAGATAAGAGCATTCTCGCGTGTTTGTTGTCAACGTAAAAGTATTTCAATGCATCAAGCGCGCGCACAGTTCTTCTCTCGGCCTGGAATATAAGTGCAATAAAATAAAAAAGTTTTTAAAAATGTAGTTCAAAAGTTATCTTCTTGAGCACACGGAGTACTATCGATAAAAAGCGCTTAAACCGTTTGCTTGACTTTCTGATAAAACTCAATTAAAAAGAAAATTATTTGAGTTCCCGAACACTTCACGTAGCTAACAAAAAAGTTCCTTCGGCTTTTGAAAAAAAAAAGCCGTTCTATGGATTCAATTAGAATTTTAGAACTTCGTATCCCCGTAAATTATGCAAACTATTCAATCAGTTTTCAAGATGAGCTTTTCTTTTTTTTTTGTCCTCCTCAGTGACAGCGCATTCCAGCTTAATAAACTCGGCGCCACACTGAGACTCCTTACTTTTTACGCCAAAATCGCGGGCTCTGCAGTGGGTCTCTCATTTTTTGCTGGCGTCTCCAACAAACACGTGAGTCTCGTCCTTGCGCTGGGTGACTCCCGTGACGTTCGTATACATTATCTATTCTATATAGGTATACCACGATGACGTGCCTCGTTCTCCCTTGTCGCTCTGTCTCTCTGTCTCTCTCTCTCTCTCTCTCTCTCTCTCTCTCTCTCTCTCTTTCTCTCTCTATACCTTTTTTTAACCCAACGCGAGGCATCTCCCTTGCTTTTATTACGCTCGTTTCTCCCTCTGCCTCTTTTAGCTTGTCTCGCGTTCGTTTCTTATTCGGTATGAAGGGGAATAACGAAGGGAACAATGCACAAGAATGGAAATAGAGTAATTTAGTAGTTTAGGCCTTTTGTGATTTGGGATTGCTATAGTTTTGGGACAGAATCCTTATAAAAGTGTGCATCTTACGGAAATTTTTGTTAAGAAAGTTCGAAAAACTTTAGTAAAAGTACTCCTCCGTCTTGTCTGAATAGTTTGGTTGCGAGTTTGCGTTCTCAACTTGAAACACGTCACGTTTTCTGAAGTTTATTCTCTCTGACATCACCATCAGCACTTTGTATTCAATTTTTTAAAGTCATTATTTTTCTTTTTCTTTACTAAGGTATTGAATATAATATTGATACAACTGAACAGTATGAGAAAATTAATTTAAATATAGTATCAAAACACTGCCAAGTGTTAACGGTTCTGCATTAGTATAATTTAAATAAAATAGGCATATCAATACTACAATCTTAAACCGTGATGTGTGAAAAAATTAAGTGAATGTTATTTATGGTACATTTGGAATTCTTTCTTATCTTGTCTCATTTAAACTACTCATTCTCAGGTTTAAATGGCTATGGCATCTGTATTACACTGAAAGAACTTATAAAGACGATATAAAAGCTGTGCTAAGAGCTGCACAGTGTAAAAGCTGTGAATATGATACATTGAAAGCGCCTGCTTAATGTTCATTTAAATGCACTTGACAGAAAGGTTCCTTGCTTCTATTGGCTGTATTAGACTCTATTAAAAGTATTCAAAAGTGACTAAGGTTCATTGGTATTTGATGTCAGACAACTTAGATTAAAAATTAACCGCAACGAAAGTGGATGGAATAAACAAAATGAAAATAGGACCGTACGCAAAGAAATGAAGTGACTAAAACTAATGAAAAGTAGCGAAATGAATGAAAGTAAAGTTGAAAAGAACTTGGACAGAAAAGAAAAATCGCAAGATACATACACAAAGAGCAACATTGGCAGAGCACGGTGTCCCGTCCTTTATTTTATTTTATTTTTTTTTTACAACGGCGAATAAACAAAGCGCGCTGGTCTCTTCTTCTTGGTTAGTCAGGATAGCTTGTATGCGGAATAAAAGGGCGAGGCAAGCGGTTAGACAATTCTTCGAGACAGTTAAAGCCGGGCTTTTTTAATGTTTCTCAAATTAAATGCGCATTTTTAACAGCCTCGCAGCCACGGTGATCTGCTTGACGCGTGTAGAATAAAACCGCAGAGATTATCTAACTTGTTGACTTTTGCATTGCCGTTGCGATGTAATTTCTATCTTACCTAATTGAATTATTATTTAGTTACAAGTTATTGACATTCCTCTCTCTCTCTCTCTCTCTCTCTCTCTCTCTCTCTCTATCTCTCCTCTCTCTTGTAAAAACGAAAGAACCGGACAAGCGATAAAACTTTGATTGAAGTGGAATTTTTATTTTTTCTGTAAATTAAAAGAAACACGTCCATGTTTAAGATAAGCCAGTTCCGCTAAAATTTATCTGCGCATAAGTAGGTTAACAATCCTGTAACTCTGTTAATGCAATAATATATACGAGTTTTCGAGATGAGTTCCGTTGGTTGCATCACGAAACATTAAGATTGACTTTATGCACACAATAAACCGTATTACCGTTTCGTAGTTAAATTGTTTTAAGTTTTTTTTTTTAATCGATTGTCACGCGATTGAAAATTGAAGCAAAAACTACACGATTTCTCCTTAAATGGCTGGTAATTTTCTTTTTCCATTCGATTTACAGCATGCTTTTTACGCTCTTTAATTAGAAATTAGCGCCTATTAAGGTATGATAAAAACGTGTTTACAATACTAATTAAATGCGCTTTCTTTGCAGCACGAAGAGCAGTGGACTCCAATGTAAAGTAATCATGCAAGTTTGACTTATGGACTTTCTCCGGGACGTGGATAACGGTTGCCGATTTAGAAAGAGCGCGCGGTAGACGACAGCAAAACTTTGATCGAAAGCATAAGTTAATTGGATTCCGCTAAAGAAATAGAATCTAAGCTAACGGCAAGTTGCGCCGTGAAGACAAAGCCCTTTTTCCAGCCGCTGCTGTAACATGGGCAGGTTGCAATTAACCGACAGGCTGAAATGTTTAACGGTCGTGCGCATAGGCCAATTTTCTTTTCTCTCTCGACGTTTTCACCCATGGCTAAATGAGCGCTGGCCGCAGTCTCGTCGACAAGTCAATGCGATGATTATCGTTACCCGCTGATGAGAAAGTCAAATGGCGTTTGATGATTCAGAAAGAAAAGACGTTTATACATGGGGTGGGGCACGAACAAGAAGAGAAAGAAGAGAAGGAGAAGGGCTACACAGTCCCTCTCCTCGGGTGGGCTTTGATCTTTAGTTGGAACCGGATATGCTCGTTACTGATAGCGCGATGCTATATACGCATACGCCAAGCGCGGCCACAGCCTTTCGAAGCTCCGATGTGCGCATGTGCGTTGCTCGGCTCACGTAGCGGGTAACAAGTGCAGCTCCAGCTATTGTCGATGCTTTTCTTGCATAGCCAACTAACTCGTTGAGATAAGACGTCAGTTCCCGATGTATATACTTTCACGTAACGCGTATTACGTTCTTGGAATGGCACTGTTTAACCCCTCTTAAACTTTGAGTCCATGCTTAATTAATCGACTCGAGCTTCGGCCTATCTTGTTCAAAGTCACGTATAACATGTCGCGTTTTATTTCATTATTTTTTTTTTCAGATGTACAAATTCAAACAAACGAATCGGACGAACCGTCATTGGAAAAATCGCTTTTATTTACGACGATAGGATCCATTGATTTACGACTCGTCATAACCACCGCCACGCAACTCTCGACGGTTACATAAATGTAACCTCCAAATTTCGACTCGTCTAGTTTTTTGTGTCGACTAAATAACGATGGTGAAACATCGTTTCGATACGTGAGCGTTAAAATCTATTTTTAGCAATGCTAGATAATACTTTACTTGACGTAATAGTGCTGCGTGATGTACAATAAACTATCCGAAAATATATACAGACGGAACGCGGTTTTAAAAGATTCTTGGCGTCCTTTTTTGATTCTTAAAAGCTCATTTTTAAATAAGATTAAGATATTCGGTCATGTCTGACGGGATGATTACTTAAAATTTCTCATCTGACGTTTTATCGTTGCTAACACGCCTCGTGATTTATTAGCGAAAACATATATGCTATTTGTTCGGCGACACGTACAACAATATAATCGTATATAGAAAAACAGAGATTGTTTTGTTGCCGTGGCAGAGAGGAAACCGGTTTCTCTAACCGATAATATCTGAATCATAATTAGCACTTGAATGTTACGCTAGACAAACACGTGGCTGACGTTATTAATGACCTTGCGCAAACATTTACGAAAAATTGCTTTGTAAAAGCGCATTTTTCCAGAACGTATATGTTATTATTTATCCGTCTCTCACGATGATCTTCCAACGTTTTTCCACTACGCTCACGTAGCGAAATAGTAATATTACTCAACGTGAAATTATGGTCTCTATAATTACAATGGCAATAGCCAATAATTTTCCCTACGTAACAAGACATCGGCCAATTATCGGGATATTATACGCATGCACAAGATAGACTATCGTTGCAAGAGAAGAGGCAAACCAACAACAAATTCACATGGTCAGGTATGTACAACGCAACCAACGTCAACGTAGCAAATATCGGTGTAGCACGGCATGTACGTAGGGGAACTGTACGATAGGCAGTGCGCGCATCATTAGCGCAACAGAACACGTATATTCGTCGGACATGAGTAGGCAGCGTGTATTATACCTACGCAACTCGCGTACAATTCGCACTCACCTATACACGACGATTCTTCCCTTTCACGTGTCGTTCGGGCCGAAAGATGCAGCGGCGGCTCTTACTTTCTCCGCAGGTATGTTCACTGGAAAAACGCACGTATACACACTCACTATCGAAATATCACTGTGGTAGAGAAGCCGAGCGCGCGCGCGCGCACACGTGCTGCACAGATTGCGCTCTCGTTCTGTTCAGAACGAATGAGAGAGAGAGAGAGAGAGAGAGAGAGAGAGAGAAGCAGCAGACAGACAGAAGACGAACCGAGGAGCGGCATTCTTCTGCTTGGTGCGCTCGCTCGCTCGCTCGCTCGCGCGCACAAGGCCGTGTATAGAGAGCTGCATATGCTCCGCTCGCACGACTACCAGAGAAAGCTCGAGCGGCTCTTTTCCTATCTTTCTGCCGTTTCTTTTTCGGATTGGCCCATTTTCGAACTCCGCGTTCGAGTCCTAATCAGTGCGCGACGCTATATCAGAGTCGGCCGAGCCACTATCAAGCCCGCGTCTTTGCTCTCGAGAGACACACATATCATCTCCGAAGATGCTTCCTTGATGCAGCCAATCGCTTTTACGAAACTTTCTAAACTTTACCGATTTCCATGCCACGATAAGAGCCCGCGGCATTTCACTCGATTGACAATCGAGAGTCGGTATACAGGTGTCGATCGAAGACGAACAACCTGTTTGTGAAAGGTCCTTTCGATCGACTACGCACTTGAACAAACTTTTGACAATGTGTCAAAGGTAAACTACACGAACTCTGCGTGGCAGCGGTTCGAGCGGACGTTAACGATGCGACGGAAATAACTGAAAGAAACGCGCTGCACTATATTTCGATCGTTCAAAGAGAGTTGTCCGAAGAAGACTGTTATACCGCAAATCATGAATCAGAGCTCCACTTCCCCAAGCGAAAATAAAATAAAACACACGCCGCTCGGGCGCGGCTGCGTGTATAATCACGTGTGCTACTGTCCTGCTCGAAGCCAGTCGTAAAATCGATCGCAGGCAAAAAGGGAGAGCGCGTACCGGGGCAAAAGTGGCGAAGGAGAACACAAGCCGAACGCAAACGCGTCGCGGAGAAAGAAACAAAACTGGTCCGGCTTCGCTTTCGCTCGATTTGGAATCTGGAGCAGCGGCGGATTCGCTTCCTCGCGTCCTCGCTCTCTCCTCTTCTCGTCGCGGTGGTCGTACGCACGCACGAACGCCCGAAAACTTCCTTCGTGCATTTGCAATCGTCGCGCGTCTCCCACGCTGTTGCAGCTCGCGCAACACGGCGTGCGTTCGGCGTCAATGAATAACGAGCGTTGTCGAGTTGACGCGCGCGGGCGGATTTTCAAGAGCTTTCGCATGAATTAGACGCGCCAAGGTAGGCCGTTTCGTAATTCGACGAGCTGTCGTTTTCACGTAATAACTTACGAATATGCATCGTGCCGAGCGCAGACGCAGCCTCGATCAGAGCCAGGCGCAAGATCTGCGCAATATCTCGCGATACGTATAAGAAACGTTCGGCGGCCGGAGAATTGCGATTGTGATCGCGCGCAGCGTCTGATGCAACGATTGCACTTGCGACTCGAAGGGAAATCGTGAGCGCGGGGCCGTTCGCTGCGCGCGCGCGCACAGGTGAAAAATCGGAGCGTGTAACGGCGAGGCTGCACAATCGGCGATAGCAGAAATACCATATACATGTATATGGAATCGAAAAGAAAAGGGGGCTCCCGCGCGCGAAGATCCGCGCGTTCGCTGGAACGCTTTTCCTCGGTTATAACGGCGCGCGCGTATGCGACGGGTCCCCGAGGCCTTATTCAGGGCTGAGCGTAGAGCCAGTCAATCGACCAAAGCTGCTTCGGTTTCATTTCTCTCTCTCTCTCTCTCTCTCTTCGCGATCATCGATGTCGGCGAGCGAGGCCTCGGCGCACATGTTAAGCATTTTCGAAACGATATCCTCCATTTGGCGCCGATCACTTAATAATACGTGTTCTAATTTTTCACTCCTTTCTCCCCCCCCCCCCTTATTTATCATTTGGTCAAACCGCAGCCTCGATTCGCTGCCTTTTTGCGCACGCACATCCCGAGCAAAGAGCAAAGCACTCACGTATATATTGCACTAGAAATAGCTCGCGCACACGCACGTGTCGCTATGGTATAGTGAGCTGAGTCGAGGGACAGCCCGAACACCGGGGCCCTCGAACTGGTACTGAACTACTGCTGCTTGCCGGCACCCGCTTGCTTGCGCTCGCCGTCGGGTTCTCCTTCTCTCTCTCTCTCTCTCGTTCTCTCTCTCACTCCAGTTGGTGTGCCCTCTTTGTCGCTCGCGCGGCTGTGTAAAACCGACCGCGGTGGACGGGGCCCCGTGTGGACCCCACGTGGCCGCCGCAGTTGCCGTCATTGTATGTGCGCCTCACTCTCCGTCAACATCAGCCGCTCGCTTCTCCCTACTCTCTCTCTCTCTCTCTCTCCCTCTCTCTCTCTTTCTCTCTCGCACCCAACAACATTATAAGCATTCTATATCTCACTATTCTCTTTTTCACTTGCGTCTTGCTCGCCTTTTTACTCTTCGCTTATTTCGGTTCCCCTTTCCTCTCTTTCTCTTGGCTCTTTCGTTCTTATTTCACGGTGTTTCTTGCGTTGCACTCTGATTCGCTTTATAATCTTAGAATTAACGGTTTCGCCACTACACACCTTTTGTTATTTCACTGCCTCTCTGTTATTAATTTTTTTCTTTTTTGCCGACGCCGCTCGACGCTATTTTATAACTTTGGCCTTTTGCGGCAATATCTAAAAGTCATTGTTCTTTTACTGCATCTTGCGTGCAATTCACAGTTGTAATAGTTTTCTTGTGTACAACGATTTTAGAGCGCCTCATTTTTACAAATTTAATGAGATACTCGGCTTTCGTATTTAGATAATAATCGATTGACAAAAACGTTCGTCAAACTCCGTTTCGCAACTGTTAATTTTTTGGGATCCCGTGCGCTTTGTGAATCAAGCGGACGTTACCGTCATTAAATTATAATTGCTATACGCGTTAGAAAAGTCCTCGGGAAAGCCTATCTGAATCAGTTAATTACAGAAAATTACGAAACACATAACGACCGTTGACCAACTTTTTTCCCTGGTCGTTTTTTCTTTATATGTACAACGGTGATAAGCGTGAACTGAATACACTTTCGCATCTGACGTCCATGACTCCGTTATAAATGATTGTCCATACACGATTATCCGAGCTTTCGAAAATATTTACACGTATATGAAAGCTTATTCTCGCGCTGGTATCTTTAGTTTTGCTTGACTAACTGACCCGCCGTAGCGTTATCAAATGTTTAGTTGATGACACGGTACTGCGGAAATGCGTCAGTTTCTCAAGTTAACCTTCGAAAAGAATATAAACTACTTTATCGAAAAATGACCTCGACATTCTTTTCAATTTCTTATCTCCGGTAAATTGTCTTAGTCCGAATCGACAATAGCTTAGTATTCCACGTGACACTGACAGGTGTTGAAGTTTTAATGCAGTGAAACATAGATCAATGGAGAGAATGCCAAAGCTGATGCTTTATTTTTCTCAGCAGCATCCGGATCATTATGTGCATTTTTCATTTCATTACCCGCGCGCAGAGCAGCCGACTCTCTTTCTCCGTCTCCCTCTGTTGTACGGCGCGAGTGTATAGCTCATAATTCACGATGCCGGGCCTTTATTGCATTTCCCCGTCTTGCGCCGGGCGTCAAGCCGCATCGGTGCACTCGCGTGCGGTAGCAGCTCGCGAGCTCTCTTGGCGTTGATCCGACGCGAACGCGCTCCGTGCGTATGCGTACCCAGCGCGTACATTCATTAACAAAGAGCCGCTAACACATTCGCCTCGAATGCGCGCCGTTTAGCCTCCTCCCCTCGTACGAGCTGATTACTGCTTCTTACTTTTCTTTACGCTTCGGGCTCTTTCTCTCGCACTTTACCGCCGAGGTATAAGCCATCCCGAACGCCTGCGAGCCGAGAGTGCCGAGTTGCGGACCAGTCGAGGAAAGAAATCGTGCGCGCGATTAACGCAAAGGGTGTTGCCGCTGTGCGCTCGCGTCGAATTGAATTACAACCTTTTTCACTTGTCAAAGCGACTTGGCAGTCGCTGTTTTCTTGGCCGTTGTGCGTGCTTTGTTGTACCCGCCGTCATTTTAATTAGAGTGCGAGAATTACTTCCAGTCTTGCTTCGAGCAAAATCAAAAAAAAGGACTCATTTTTTCAAACTACACCTTTTTTTACGGTACTGAAATTATCGAGAATTAACTCAACTATCTTTGATGACTTAACGATCGGTCTTCATTGACTTAATCACACGGGATCTGAAAAACTACGCCTCGTGAAAAAGTCTAGGTCGATGATTACTATGAACAATAAATCGCGATGTATCAAAAGTCTTCAGTACCGGACACGCAGAGGTTAAAATAAAAGATATAATTATTGTAAAGCATACCTAATAATTAAAAGGAAACATATTCGTTTAAGCTTTCTCTCGACGCGAAGTTAAATGTTGCGGCCGCAGTTTCGCAGAACCGGTTCTTTAAAACAAGTATGTGTATAGTTTTTGTTGCAAAACAAATGCTTACATAAGGGGAGATGTAACGCGATAAGCTTCGTTGAGGTACATATTGAATTCCATTTCATTCCGTTTTGTCATTTTTTTCAAGACGATAATGTTACGCATGCTAAAGTGTCAAACCCCATCTGAAATGTGGTCGATCGAAGGAGACGTACTGTCCCGCCAAAGTATACAACGCCAAAGTATATGACATTGATTTCATTCAAAATTGAAAAATGTCTATCGCACTTTACTATTTTTACTTTTAGGCACAAACTTTGACAACTCCATATATTTGTAATGGAATAACATTAAAATAGACTGATATACTTAAAGAATAAATCAATAGTTTTGAAGCTGATATTTGATAAATCGATTTATAGCTTTTGTTATAATAAATTTTCTTCCGACAGAAAACAAAAATGTTTTACTTTGAAAAACTTCAAACTGTAGTAAAAAAAATGAATAAAAAATTGTAAAGATGAAATTCCAAGCGAAAATTCCTAATGCACATAACGCTATTTTTAATCGACCCGTTTGACACGTAGAGTCGATGAAGCCCTTTTTTCACTAATTTGATAGATGTCAATTTATAATTAAACAGATTGAACCTTTTCTTAGAATCACGTAATTGCTAACCTAATGGCACATCTATTCTTGTTCGGAGTAATGTAACAGAATAAGCAGTCAAACAAGAAAACGAGGCAGGCCGTGCTGGTATGGTTTTTACGCCAATCTTGCCGCTAAAGGAGAATCACCGTAAGCTTATCTTACGTAGCCCAGTGAACTTCAAACGGAATTCATACATACGTGCACGCTATTACGGAACGAGCAGCGCCGAAGAAGGATAAATTCTTCAACAAGTTACGATGAAAGGAATGAAAAAAAAAAATAAAAACCAAAGCGAGGATCTAGTTCTCCGTTACAAGCGTATAGCACGAACGATCGAGAGTGGCGCAGTATTACATAGCATATACGAAGCAACAGGAGTGCTGCACAAAGTAGATAACGCCAGAATTAGATGTCCCCTCGAGTCGCGCGCCCGTATTATCGTTGCGTGTAGGTGTGCGATTGCGATTCAAGTAACTGTACGATAATAGCACGGCTGGCCGATGCGCGGATGCACGCACGTTTTTCACGGAAAGGATTTCGCCTCCATCTTTACAGGCACTTTTGTTTTCTCATTGATAATTCTCCAAATAAACAAATTTCCAGCCAGAAAAATCATTGCTGCTCATTTTCCTTTAGCTCAACAGAACTATTTTCGTCTTTAACGTTTACCCTAAATTTTTAGAGAAAACGCATTTCAAATTAATTTTTCGTGATTGCTCGTAGTTATGCTTCAATCGATTTCTGAATAAAACGAAACTATCTAGGAAGCATCCCTTTCAAATGAGCACACACCATTTAAATCGGACGAACAGGTCCAAAGATATATTTGTAAATATTTATTTAATAAATTAAATAATAATAAATTTAATCGTTCTATGTTATTTGTATAATTATACTGATTACATTCAGTGAATGCATTGTAGCAACATAATCGAAATTTTCTACTTTTTTAAAATAGTTTGATACCGCAATTGTTATCCATATTTTATTTGAAATCATCAAAAGTACCGTGAATAAAAATTGTCGACTATGAAAAAGCCAGAAGACACGTTATTTGAACTCATTGTACTCTTGATGTGTTCGAAACACACTAGGCGAGACACTTGTCTTGGGTATGTTTGCTTTTCATTTGAAATTCAAATTTTATTTCTATTATTATACCGAAATTCAAAGCAATGTAAGATATATATTAAATATAGTGTCATTCTACAGTGAAAATATACAGCATACGGTGTCAATCATTTAATTTTTCATAGCTTATAAGCCTCATTATATACTCGTACACAATATTTTACTACACGACAATGAACCGTATGGAAAATTTCTTCATTTAATTTTAAGTAATAATCTCAACGATGAAAACGAGTCCTCAAAAATATTTTTTATTGATTGTGACGATCAAAATCGCGACTAACTCGAACTTTTTCTAGAAATCAAATGTTACATACTGTATTACAATGTTCACTGTGAACCCACAGTTGGTATTTTAACTTTACCTAGGTTAAACCAATTAAATATATTATAACAAATATATCAATATCGATTAGATAAAAAATTTCTTGTATGGTTTGTATTAAATATTTCATATGTTAATAGCAGAAAGTAAATTCTAATGTTGGTTGACCGATCAAGTTTGCATCGAATTTCAGAACAGTGACGTCGTCATCGTGACCACTTTTTTCGTTCAGTTCTTTCTTCTACTTTAATGTTAGTGGACAGTGTAAGAAAATTTAAAGAGAATGAATCATTGGAGTCCAGTATAAATTTGTGAATTAAGAATAATGCTCTAACAAGTCTAGGAAATTCATTTTTATATAATAAAAATACAAAATACGGATATAATTAAACTGCATAAAGATTTTCTAATTGGTTTATTTGAGTTATACTACGATACCTTTGTTTAACTAAAAATTGCTGTATTAATAAATATTATATTGTATAGATTATATAATAGATTATATAATAGATTATAATTGCACGCATAAGATAATATTAGTATTTTTACATTAGTTTCAATTGTTAGAAATACTATTCTTATATTGCATATTCCCTATTTATTTCCAAAACGTTCAGTGAAATATTTAAATTAAATTGCAAGCTGATTGATATGCAGTAAGAAAATTACAGACTTCATCAATTGCTTACGCATGTAGGTACGTGTAAATCCAAACTCCATCAAGTTTTTCGTCTCATACTTATAGAGAAGCCACAAGCTGTGCTAATGCGTTAATGATTTATAACTGCCGCGAGAACACAAAATCATGATTCTACGTTTTTGTGAAGTGGTGACGTCGACGACATCGAATCCGATAAGGCGCCCTGCCTTTTTTTATGCGATGCCAGAGCTTCATTGATGGTCCGTTTCCTCAGCCTGCGTCTCCTCTTTTTCCTACGTCGCTTCTTTTTCTTCCGGTTGCTCGATGTCGAGCCTCGACCATGCAACGATGACTGATCGTCTGAGACGATTCTTTGCTCATCAGTCCACTGTTTCGCGGGCAAGGATTTATTGTTATTCGCTTTTTTGTTAACTTTTGAGGACTTTGGCACTAAGGCTTCGACATAAGTTTCTTGAATTGCGCTATCGTACTTTTTCGGTTTTTCTATCGTTTGGCTTGCTTCGTCAAAAATATTATCATCCAAATCATTTTTGATTATAGCATTTGATGAAAATTTAGAATTTTGATTTGACAAATCTTGAATATTTTCGTTTGGCATTGACGAAATAGGTCTCTCGGCATCCAACTGATGAATAACTCCAGAAGTGCTACGTACGTTAGACATATTTCTCTTTTCATCCGCGTTCAATGCATCTTTCAGCTCAGCGTTGGATCGATTTTTCCCAGGATGTACATATATCTTTTCTAATTTAATCTCAATTTCGCCGTTTTCATCTCCGACTCGTAAAGGATTGTTTTGAGTTTTCAGTAGCTTTTCTAAATTTTTGATGAAATTCAGAATTTCCAACACATTTTTCATATTCTCTTTCTGCTTTGGATTGCTTTCTGTAAATTAATTTGGAACTTTGTTAACTTATTATCTACATTAAAAAAATTTTTTATTTGTAGTTTAAACAAGATATCTAAGCAGTTTCATGAAAAAACGTCCCTTAATTTGGTATGATTTAAAAAAATTTTAAAATGAGGTACGCATGCAATTCTTTCACTTTATCACTTTAGATAATATCTGAAACTAAAAAAAAAAATAAGTCCATGAATAAGGATGTCTATGACATTATTCTGACGTGAAATTCAAATTCTATAATAGTAATGTAATATGTAAGAAACCATCCCTTGCTTTATTTTTTGTTTACAATTTCGATCCTTGAAGAGTTTTGAATACCGTATGCCCTAAAAACTTTTTGCCAAAGAAACTAAAAAATTGACACGTTTAAGCGAAATTATTTTGAAAGCTTCGCAAGGATAAAAATTTGAAGCAAAATATAAATAACGAATGGTTTACGTACAAGTCGTATTGAAATCTAGACTTACGCTAACTTTTTTTTTGTTTTCTAGTAAATTTCAAAACATCATAAGAAACCACGAGAAATAACGTTTTCGTTTATATTGAAGTAAATACTATTGTCAAGAAAAGGGTGTCACGAGTATTCGTGATTAAAACCTAAATTATATTTAAATAGGCAACATTGCATAAAATGATAAAATGTAAAAATTATAGACATATACCCCAAATATTCGGTGAGAGCGCTTTTAACATTCGGAAAAGTTAAATAATTATTTATCTAAAATTTTGTTTGAGACAGCAATCTAAGTGGAAAAAGCGTTATTGTTTACCTAAACTTTCACAGTTACTCGAAATAATTGTCGTTTGTTCAGTCTGTTTGTTCGTGCTAATTACATTTGTAGTAGTTATTGTTTCTGGCGGTTCTTCTGATACAGTTTCATGAACTTGCTGAGCGTTTGTACTCGTGTAATCAGTTTCAGGTTGATTCGTTACATATTGCGGCGTAACATCAGTAATTATAGTACTCATTTCCGTGCTTCTTTCTTGGGAGTGGCAAATTTCCGAATCAACCTTATAACTGGTATTATTACTTTCAGTAATGCTTTCGTGTGATTGGGTAGATTGCGTGATGTAGTCAGTCGCCTCCGAGATATCAGTTACCACGGTTGTGAATTGGGACGAAAGCGTCGTCGACTTTTCGTGTACGCACTTACAATTGCCGCGTCGAGATTCCAAAGTCGTAGTTGATTGATCGGAAAGAGGAGAGAACGTCGAGTGACTATTGTCTTCGCCTTGTTCTGGCTTCACCCGTATGATTTTCGCTTTGGCGTGAATTTTTTTACACAATTTTTTCTTGTTACTACCACCAGTGAATTTTCGTTTGAAAAAATCGTTTATCTTTTTTAAAGGCCCTTTGATTTTATTCGAAACCTTTGACTCAAGATTACTGTCTCCTTCGTGAACGTCGGCGATTGAGTTATCGTTGGGATTCCGTTTAGCACGTTTGTCGAGAACTGCCAATTTTCCTTCAGATTGAGCGGCTTTCTTCTTGTGGGATTTTTTGATATTTGGCCTTGCGGAGCGCTTTTTTTTTGATGATTTTTCACTGACGACTCTTGATTGAGGATCTTTAAGCCGAAGATGAAGCTTTCCTTTGACATTTATGTCATATTCTTGGCCGTTGGCAAATAATTTAGCTAAATCAGGATCGTCATTTCCATCATTTATTCTGTTAAACTTTTCCTGATTATCGCTTTCCTCGGGGTCATAATTGTAACCAATCAAATCACCCGAAAGATAGAGATTTTTCATAGAATCCCCATTGCCCATATAATCCGAATATTCTTTTTGCGCAACACTTTTTAACGTTCTTTTAATGTACCGAGTTTTCGAGACAGTTTTTAGATTTGTAGAAGAAGTTTGCATTGATTTATTAGCATGATATTGAACTGATTCAAATCTTGAAGCTTCTCCGTCGATTCGAGCTTTCGCTAACTGCGTAACATTTTTCAAATTTATCTGAAAATAATGTAGTTGCAGCCGCTCTTTCTCATATGGCTGATCTCTATAAAACTTTTGCGCGTAATCGTAGTTTGATTCTTTGCTGAAGAAACCGGGGCTTCCTTCGCCATACTTTAAACTATTTGAGTACAATAATTTTCTTCTCGGCACATTCGTTTTCATATTCCTGTTTTCAACTGCCTGATCGAGCGAATCTGTCGGCATCTCCAGATCGTCATAGTCATAATAATTACTAATATCTCTGAGAAGTGTGTTCTTAGTCGTTGGAAAAGCTTCGTGCAGTATTTCGTTAGGTTGGACGCTTTTTAATTTCCGATTGGAAAGAGATTGCGGAAGTTTGTTTTTTTTACTCATTTGAGATTGAGATCTATTTACTGATTGACCCATCGATGAAGGCTGCTCATTGCACGTGTTTCTTTTACCAACTTCGTGTGATCTTACGTTAATCGATTTGCGAGGCAAATTTGACTGATTCGAGTTTTTATCAAATTTTAAGTGAGAAACCTTTGAAATCTGTATTTTCCGTTCTCTAACTTCTTTATTCTCGCTTGGTAAATGTTTTTCTTTAGAAGTTTTCATTTTGTTTTGTAAGTAAACGACGTCCTTTTTATCCGCACGTAATTTTTCTTCCGCGTCACACTCTTTATATTCCCTAAACGGATTATTTTTTTTAATCCGGGGTGATGTTTTTGTAACACCATTGACTAATGTATTACTTAATTGAACATCATTACAGAAGTTTGGTGAAAATTTTTTCATATTTTTGTAACGTGAATTTCCATTTCGAATTAGAATACTATTTTTCAGAGAAGTATTCAATGTTGAAAGTGATTTATGTTTCTTGCGACGGCATCGTCTTTTGGCCTGTCGAACGTGTCCTAAAATTTACGAGTCAGATAAGAATGAACTGGGTAATGATTCACAATTTTTACACGTGCTTATCAAGTTGTTTATTTAAAAATTGAAGTTTTATCATTACCTTGAGAATATTCATTGTTCAACTGTGTATCTTGATCATTCTTAAATATGTATGCATCACCGGCAGCAAATCTCATTTCATTTTTTGCGCTGTTGGTAAAACCTTGCTCTCGCTGAATATGCAAAGACCGTAATTCTTTCAACTCTTCTTCTAGCTTCGCACCCTCATCATCCTCAAACCCGCTATAAGTCTCATTATTTCCTTTCGCGCATTTCAAACAATTTTTGCACGACAAACCAGCCCTTTTTGTTTTATTTTGGCTGGTATTATCCAGCTTTTTCTTCATAAGCTCTTTACCCATTTTCACGAGCTTATCTAGTCCGAGACTTATTGACTCAACAGAGTATTTTATATTGACATCGTTGTTATTTGCTTTTTGCGCAATAGTAAAAGGCGAGGCATCTTTATTAAAAAATATCAACGCTTGCCCAACGAGTTTCTTCTCGTTGTTAGTTCCATGTTGCATTTTCTCGTCGACGGTTTTCCGAGAAACTACCGCCTCCTCCGTAATTCCATTTTGTTTGCTTGTAACGTTGCCATCAGAATTTGCCGAGAGGTCATTGGAATCCGAAGACGTTGAGCTCAAGCTGTGCCGAATAACTTGCTGACAGTGCGGAGCTATACAAACTCGCTTCTCTGTTATTGTTTCGGGCTCTTGAGTATCGATTGTAGGCTGGCTGACCGATTGCCGATTGTACTTTGCAGCATTCAAGGACCATCGAGGTATCGCGCTTGAAGTAACGTCAATCTTTTCTAGCCTCAGGATGTCTTTTATCTTGGCGAAATCTGCCTCGATTTGACGGTCGATCTCTCGACGATAATCAGTCTCGTTACCCGGAGAAAACGAAATCCTTGGGACGCGTTTCGTCGCATCTGCTTCTTGAGATGACGACGTTACTCTTTCTGCCTTCGCAGCAGAAGTCAAGTCTTTGGCAAGCCAGTGGCTCTTTTTTTTCCGACGACGTTCTATCGTGGTTGTAATACGATTGCCGTTCGCTGAGTCTCTTTGGTGGTTCATCGATGGAAAATTTTTATTTGTAGCGTATCTAACTTTGTGCGACGTATAAATGTCTCTTTTTTCTACGTCTGAATTCGAATCAGAATTCACTGACAGCAAACATCTATTTTTGTGAGAATTCGTTTTCTTTATAACAGGGCTTTTATTTTGTGCTCTAGAAGTTTCTTTAAAATTATTTATATTGAGCTCAAAATGACTATCGCTACCATCACAATTACAGCAATTACTTCTATGTCTGTTCAAGACTGCCGTTACTCGAAATGAACTTGCTTTCAATCCATTATCCTCAAGAATTTGTACAATTACTTTCAGTAAACCTAAAATAAGTTTAATGAATTTGCTTCAGCTTTATTATAATTATATTTTATAATTTTATTACAATTGCTTGGGATGAGCGATTCAAATTACACTAATGGCATATTTATGGATATTAAAAGCTATCTACCTTTAATGCTAAAGTTAAGTATTAAACCTTCAAAGTAGTCCGTTGCCAACTTGTTATTGCAATTCCAAAGAACCAACTTTCGAGTATACTGATTATTACTGATAAATTTACATTTCAATTTGAAGATCCAAGTAAAAATGTCGTCATTTTCTATATAAAGCAGCTGAAAAGATATCTATGAATCTTTAAAAATTTTTAAAAGAAGCAATACCAAAGAAACTAATATTTCATTGTTATAAATAAGGTTCTTACAAAAATAACTTGCACTATGGTAGAAAATTTACTATTTCTATTTCGTAGAATACTAATTAACTCCGTACCTTCTCGTATAACTTGCTCTGCAAGTAAATTGTTACACTTAGATGTCTAAAAAGAAAAATGGTTGGATTGGTATACTAGTACCCTCTACAGCTAATGGTGTATACTATTTGACCGACTTTTGAAAGTACAAGAAATGTTCACTCGGTAGTCGATTATACCGTCTGATAATTAAACATAAAATATCCAAATACACTTACATATGTTAATTTAAGATTACGTATTGTTAATATATTATTAAACGCTACTGTATATTTTCTATTTCTTTGAAATGACAATGCGGTCTTCGATTGGTCTGCAGATTTTCTTATGTTGTTTACCTATGAAGGATAATAAAGAAACCGATAAATTTTGCACATGAAGTGATTAAAATTTGTACAATTATTAAAAAATGGGTTAAAATAGTTTGCATAATCAATAATAGTTAATAGATAAAAATTTCCAAATTATTACACAGAAAAACAGCGCATCAGTTTTGTAAAATTATAGTACATCGTGTGCGTATGGATAGAAGAACGGAAAATAATTATATACGTTATATAATTAGATAACGATATAACGTTACGCAGTTTTTCTGTGATATTCATCTTTCAAGATTATCACTGATCCCGATTGGATTTTAAAATATATTATATTCACGATCGACACCAAAAGTAATACACAAAAACATTACGTACACTTTGATAGCCGTTGGTTGAAACGATCAGGACTGATCTCTTCTTTTTTACTTCAAGTCCCGTCATACTCACAATATTTCTAAGAAATTTGATAATTTGTTGAATTTAATACAAATAATATATCATTTTTGAAACATTTTAAATAGTAGTTAAAAAGAAAATATAACATTCTACAAAAAAATTTCAACATAAATTAAGGAAATCTGCTGAGAAACGGAAATAAATGTAGGCTCGTACATTATGATCGATTATGATCACTAATGTATCATTAACGAATATAAATTTATAAAAATAGTAATATAAAGCACATTGAGCTAAAGTTGCATATAGTTGCATTCACCATACCTTAACAATGATGATGATAGTTCTCTTTTCGTTATACATTGACGGTCGAAATCACTATTATTATATTCATTTATAATGTATATTGGCCTCTTAAATAGCTCATATTGTTGATTTTGAGTAAAATAGATTTGTATTTCTGGATAAAATTCTTTATAAAACTGCTTTTGGTCCTGTGATCTCAGACATTTCATCGAACTCGAAGAAAAATTGATTATCTAAAATATATTTCAGATAAATAAATTTCGTTCAAAAGATCGATCTTTTGAAACAGAACTGTTAATAAATTGCTTAGAGATTATAATTTTCATAATATTATCAATTATCTTATCTACATATCTTATAAGTTTCCGTATTATAAATCTTTACTCTCTATTTGCCAATTTCAAATTTGCAAGTAAAGTACAACTAACCTGCAACAATACCCAAACCAAAATTATGCAGCATGAATGGCTTGACATGTTAAGCCATCCGACAGTATTTGAATAAATCTTATCCAGCTCATTTCGATGTGTAACTATATTAGCTTTTATAAATATTTCAACTTGTATGATACATCATGAATAACTTTTAAGAGCTCACCTATACTTTGAAATTTGTGATATTTAACTGGAAAAGTAACTAACACAGTTTATTTCTCAATATTTTATTTTCCATGAATAATGTTGTTCAAAATAAACAACAACAAAGAAAACTAAAAGAAACATGTAAAAGATTTTTATAAAGGATTTAACCTCCACTATAATAAATAGCATGTAATGAAAGAAAAACAGAAACAAATTTGTCACTTGTTTTGGAATGAAAGTTAGTGCAAGTAATTTTTTGAGAATCTTTTATAAGGTATGCGACGTATAAATTCAAGTTCTATAGTGGAGTTAGATATAATTTGATTTGTAATTTATTTGTTTATTACTATACTATAGAATATGATTTTTTTTAAATAAAACAATTTTTTTACAAATAACCAATGTTAGAAAATGTAACTGACTGACATAATTTTGAGATAATAAATGTACTAAAATATCGCACAAAAATAAGACAAAGTTACCAATATATAGTCATAAACAATTTTTTGTAACCTTTGCTCCGATGATTTTCCATAAGAATTTAAACAAATCAATCGATGCAAAATTTAATATAAAAAGGATTAAAAATTGGCGCATTTCAATATTTATAAATAGATATTTATTTATCTCGTTGTATTTTGTACTGCAAATACAATACAATAATCTTAGTAATTTAATTATTACTATTATTAATTTATTGCTTTAAGAAACATAATTTTATAGTTGTACTACTAAGGTATCGGATGCAAGATGTTATACATTAATTGTGCTAAAAGAAATTAATATATAGGAAATTAAATATTTCCATAAAAAGATGCATTCACAATGTAAAACGTCATTTTTTGTAAGGTACGGTTTATAATACAACGTGGCATTAAAATCTTCGAGTATCATACTTTTTGACATAATTAAAAAATTATAATAAATACAGTAAAGAATAAGATAATTTGGAATACTTTCAAATTTTTATAATTTAAATCGATGATAGCTTACATGAAATCGGAATATTACTTAAATAAATACATTTTAATTTATTATAGAATATTTTATACAGCTTTATGTCGTAGTATCGAAAAAAGAATGTCCACTTTTTTTAACTACTTTAATTTGTAATCTATGATAGTATTTTTAGTTTCTCAAACTCGTAATAAATATAATTACGTGTTTTAGGTAGAATGACGTTATACTTCCGCACCGAATTAATTTGATCATTCAGTTACTTAAATGTAGAAACTTAGGTTTCACTATGCTTTAAATAATTAACAAGTAAGTTGAGTATAATTTATTAAATATATTTTCATTTTCTCGTTGTTAATTCTAATGAACGGAGCTTTTCTTAATTGCATCAATGCTTCAAAGTATCACAGTTTATAATTTGCGTCGACGCTAGAACCTTAGGTTTTTAGCAACAAAATAATGTCCATTTGTTTTTTTTTCATTCTAAATAAACTTATAATGAACATTTCGATTCTGGCGCATTGAAACAATCTAGTTAAACGAGTATTATTTTGCCTGATTCTGATAGTACGCTTTGCGTAAAAATGCGTACATTTTCAGTAAATTAACATCAAAGACCTATTGGATTTACTTAGTAATTCTTTTAACATTTCTTCACTCATTGCTTTAATTACAATTTTTATTATAAATTTTTTTCTACAGTTTCACAAAGAAAATAATTAAATTTTTTAGATAAACGGGATTAAGAGAAAACGACATGAGGATGTATGCAATAGCCGGACATTTTTATAGAAAATATTCGTCGTCCCATTTTCAAGGATAGTTAAAAGATATTCTTAGTTGGAGCTGAACAAGGAAAAGCTTTTTGGTCTTGAAATTTTTCATATAATAAAGATCTACAACGACGATTGAACACTTCTTTTAATTCTTCACTTTTACTTAATATTTGCTCAAATAAACTCCACTTTTGATAAATTTATTGAGATTGAATCATTACTCAATAAACTCGAAGTGCTTGAGTACTCGATTTCTGAAAAAATATAGGTTATAGTTTATTTTCATTTTCGCTACGTTTTCTATTATAGCTGCGTAATATTCTTCTACTAATATTATTATTTCACCCACCATTCTTTAATTCAGTAATTTAAAATAAAGTTTATAGAAAGTTTCCACAATTATTACGCTTTCCATATATTATTTAGTATTCTGTATTTATTACCGTTACCTTTAAAGACATTTTTGCTTTTCTTCTGCTACATGCCACTTGAAATAAAGTTCATTTTCGTTATTCTTGTTTCATATAATTTCATCTTAAGTTATTAAATTCCTTATCACCAAGTTTTACACTTTTTTGGGGGATTCATTTTTGACCCTGCTGTACATCGGAATGCTTCAGCAAATTCATGGGAGTTCATCATAATTCCATTTATTCTGAAAAATTGTAATACGCTGATAAATGTATATAAATTTAAAAATTTGTCAGAGAATATTATTATTGGTTCGTATGATTTATTTGAAAAAAAGAATTGAAGTTAAATTCAAATGCATATTTATTTGCAAATCATTTATGTTTCATGACTAGTTTACTCTTTGATTATTGAGTATTTGAATTGATTATTTGAAAGAATAAGATGTGATCTAACAATGACACTTTAAAAGATTTTAGGACGTGTAATAAAAAATATTACACTCTTTGCAAATATTTTAAAATGAACCTTTTTCGTCAGTATCTTTTTTAGTGACATAAAGAAAACTTAAAATTAAATTTCATCTGATCCACTTAAAAATACCCTTTATCTCATATTTCAAACGATTACAATGTTCTAAAGTCATAAAGCGTTATAATGTAATTTTTGCAAACAATCATAGTATGTTAAGCTCAAATAAAAATTCTACGCTGTGTGATTGTCAATTTAAATATCTTCTTAATAAGAATAATATAAATGGTATAAATTTACGTGGTAGATATATATATATATATATATATATTAAAGTTATTTGAAAACGTATAATTTTAATAAACATTATTTTATTATATTAATTAGTTTTCCACAGAAATTTAATTATTCGTCAATTAACATAGAATCTTATTTATTTTGTGCAAACTGTTATAGTAAGTAACTCTATCTTCATTTATTACTTTATAAAAGTACATACTTTTAGAACTCATATGAACATTTGCAAAATTTTTGGCTTTTTTCTGAAATTGGTTAATATTATTGATAATTATATGATACATTTTTAGGATAAACTAATGTGAATCTAAATTTGATATGAATCCGGAATTTATTTACCTTTCTGGTTGAGGTGTGTGGTAATCGAGTTCGACGGAGAGAATGTAGGCCTCGGCAGTCATGTTCGAGCAGTAAGTCTGTAAAGAGAATAGAAAGATAGATTAAACCCAGCAATTTCTATTTAAATTCATACATATAGAAATATTCATACATATGGAAATATAGATAAAAATGGTTTTCGTTCAATTATGCTACGGGAAAAGTATCAAGGAGGTAAAAGAAGATATCTTACTTGGGCGGCGCTGATAAAGAATAGTTGGCTAGGACGCACCCCTTCCAATCCTGGCAGAGTTCGATCCTTGCCGTTTGTTAGGATGTGCCACGTGTGATAGGCTATCTGTAGGGCGCCAATGTCCGCCACGTTCTCATTTCTTGTGACGTTCCAATCGAACTGTCATCATAAAATACATTTACATTAATAAACGAGTCTTGCACACTAGTTTTATTATTGATTTAGCTTCAGTTTCGAAGCAAAAGTTTTACACTGTTATACTTAAACACATTTTAGAATGCTATACCGATTGTATATAGCATTTATTTATACTACATGAATAATAATGTTTGTTTTTTCTAAGACGAATAATACCTACAAAAAGTAAATGGCTCCAAATTAAAAAAAATATTATAGCCATACCTAAGAATAAAAATTTATTTAGTCAAATCTTCGATAAAAATAATTAATCTACTACTAAGAATTTCCACTAGATTATTATTTTTAACTATTAACAAAGTATTTTTCAGTAAAAATTAAATACTTAATAACTTAAAATTAGTAGTCTATTTAATCTGGTTCTATTACGTCGTAACTTAGCATCGCTAAATTTTGTACAAATCTGATAAATTCAATTTTCACGAAAAATTTGCGCTTTTTCTATTTGGTTGAAAAATTTGATAACTTAGTTTGGTAACCAGAAAAAATAAACGAGAAAGGGTACAGAGTAGAACACCTAGCCGTCGAGCGAAAAATGAAAGTTGACTATTGCCTTGAGGTTTTCCCACTTGTGAGAGTACCGTTAAACTTACGAAGAGAGCGGAAAAAGAATAAAAGAGATAACTCGTAACAGTAGGATATAAAAAGAGTACTTTATTTCTATGTGCATGTTTTTACGTGGAAGACTAGACTATTTTCGTATCAAAAAAAATATTTTAACTACGATGTTGCAATTAAAAATTATATGTTATAGTTATACTTCGCTAATGAAAAGTATATTCCATTTGACAGAATAAACATATGATAAAAAGTTGTCAGTATTGGTAAAAAATTCAAAAATTAGAATGGTCTGTAAGAAACTAGAGATATATAATATACTTTTCCTTCACTACTTCGCATCGAATCTATCGATTATCATATTTCACGTTATACTAGTTAATATTTGACGATAAATTGTTTAAAATTAGATGAGTTTGTGTAAATTATAATCTTTTGAAAGAAAAAAAAGAGTAATGAGAAAAAAGTCACAGAAAAAAAAATGCCTATATCACGGGCATATTGTAAAATCTACCTATCAAACTTTGTACTCTGTAGTGATCAGAGATGACGATCTTGCGAAGCCTCTCGCATGTTCTGGCGATACTTAATCACTTGCCTACTAACTTCCTTGCATAGTCGTATAATAGCCATGAATACCAGGTTTGATAAGAGTTCTTGACCAATTTATATCGCGTTAATTAGAAACGTACGTTGCGCCAATTTCGTTGTATCAATGTGTCCTCATCTATCTATACGCGTATAGAGATAGTCGACGCGATGCTAGTGAGCAAATGAAATTTCATGAAAAGAGTTTTGGTTTATTGTGAGTGTTATTCCCTGCGATTTATAGATATTTCATAGATTGATTTTCTAATCTGATTCAAGTGCACTTGAATTAACAATTATTTTAAAAATACATAAAATCGTCTCTTCACCTGTACGTCAACGCTACTCCCGAAAAACTTGACCTTTTTCCAGAAGCTCCTGGCGTATAATTTAGCGACGCACTCGATCATAACCTCAAGTCTACGCCAGGCTTCTGGCGTAATCCAGGACCACTGATCGCTGATTGGGTCGGGATCAAGTGGCAGTCGTCGGTGATGAAGATCAAAGGCATGGAGAACTTCGTGACTGATTACTGAACCTAACGTCGAATAAACGGCGTAAGCTGGCCCTCCGTCCCATGACCACGACCAAGCCGTCATCATTGCGACTGGCACCACTAAAATTTGCATAGCGTTGTAATTTTAATCTAAAGCACGAATAGCTTTGAAATATATTTTGATTATTATTCAATTATTTACCTATGGAATTGGATGATTCTTCGTAGTATGCGCTGACTGTGTATGGGTGATTCCACCTGGCATGATGACAACAATATATTATCAATTTAAAAGGAATTAATAAACATATTTTCAGGAATGAGAGAAAGTGAACTTGAAGCATAGTTAGTCAGAAAGGTGAAACAGCTTTCAATTTTAATTCAAACAAACTTATCTTAAAAGTTTAAAAGATATGACAGAAGTGATAAAATATTTCAAATAACAAGATGAAGAGATGAGAGTAAAGTAAAATGACGATTAATGGTTTACTTTTAAAATGGTTTGATGATGGTCATGATGATTCTCTGTTCTTCTTTCTTACTTTTGAGTTGCATTTCTTCTTGTCTGGCCTTCCAATGTTCGAATTTGCTTGAACCTCCTAAGAATCGTCGAAAAAAAATCATCCCGATCTATTACGACCTGTTTACGAAAAATAAGAATTCATTTTTCAATAAAATATTTGAATTGAAGAAGAATTGTTTTGTTTATTAAATGTTTGCAAAGTTCTTAAAATAACTAACCTCCTCCATTTCTTGAGATAGCCAACTGTCGTTCAAGAAACCCGGCCAAATTTGGAATTTTCCCCGCAAGGAACGCAGCTTGAAAACAGCTTGAGTCCTTGTTTCTTCGTCAAGCCAAGGCATCGCAAGCATTCGCTCGGCTAATGTCTCTTTTATGCGCTCAAACATTGCCGCTATCTAGAAAGTTTTTTTTTCCTTTGAATATTTTGAATTTTATTGATTCTTCGTGTCATCCACCTTATTAATTTAGACCGTAACAACTTTAGTTTATAAATAGTTATTCATTTGTGGTGAATTCTCGTGGTAACAATATTTCAACATGAATTCACTAACTAAACTAATATCTTAAAGCAAGTTCATACAAAGCAAGACGTGACGAATTAACATTATATCACTCGAGTTTTTTAACTGGATATAGTAAATTTCGATAATTAACGTTTAGATTCCCTATAAGAAGTTTTGTCCGTCAAGTATACTGTTACAGTAGTTCTACGCAAAGTGCAGCAATATAATTTTAATAAATAAGTTTACACATTACTAACTTAATATTATTTAAATTAAATATCCGAAATTAAGCTTGCTACAATACCTGACTGACTTACCCTATTTACAAGAAGTTCCAGAAAATCTGGTTTGTACTGCTGAACGTAGAGTGTTCCGACGGATTCACTAAAGGTGGTTTTTGTAAGTTTAAGACAAGTCTCGGTCCAATTCTTACTTGCAGTCACATTAACAACGTCATGTAAAACATCCGTAGCATACAGCACCAATAATCCATTGTGGATCATCCTGAAATCAATCCGTTTTCCTTACGTCAGTATTTTACAAAATACATTTACAATTATAATCGTGAACTGAGTTTTTTTTCAATACGTTTAACATTTTTTGTATGAATTATGAAGAGTTGTTATACAGCAAAGTAAAATTTAGTTCAACGATCGCTGCAAAAAGAAAAAGGATTATTGATTCATTAGAGTATACGTCAGTCGTATGCAATATAGGAATATTTCACGGGAGTCATAACTCAGACGCGGGCGCCGGAATTAATTAGCATTGCAAGCGAAATTGTCGCTGCACGTCGGGCCTACCAACGATCGAGCGTATCGACCACGTGCAGATATATGTGTTAGAGAGCGAGCGACTCGACGTCACGGCGGCGGCGGCGCCGTCAGGGCGCATCTCCAAAAATAACAATGCCATCCTGCAGCCGCCCCTAACCTTCTCCTCCTACTTTGGCATCCTAACCAACTTTTATAACATTACATCCTCACCACCGTGCGCAACATTGCTCTGCAATGTGTGTATATTTTTGACCTTTTTGCTCGATCAAGCGTGTGTCACTGTACAACCCCCGTCTGTTTTCGCGATCGTCAACGAAGCTTTTTTGAAGTATACTGAGCACCTAAACATAGTATAATTAATTAAACCATAGTTAGTATTTAATACCCCTGATAGATTGAAATTATAGTCGAGAAGTTTAAGTAAGAAATTTTACTAATTTTTTATTTTCTACTCGTTCACCAACATATCTAGTTTCTATATCTTTATAGCCTCTAATCCTCAAATAGAAATATAAACCAATATTTAAGAATTAAGTTCACCAGTGAAACAATTTATTGTACATATTTTTCATTGGAATATGGTCTTAGATCGTGAGAAAATTGATTAAATGATTAAAATTATAATCATGATAACCTTCAGCACGAATTTACCTTGAGGCACTTGTCTTAAAATTAGAAAAGTAACTGCTGCAGCATGTATTCATAGACAACTTCTCATGTCGTCAACGTGGAGAAGCTTCAAACTTCGAAAATTGCTTTATTGTAAATGCAACGTACTTCGTTAAATTTAATTAATTAATAACATTGACTTTTAAGCTCATTAAAATTTTACATTCTTCAAAAGTCAATGAAAACCAACAATTTCCAACCTCTCTTTCATATTAAAATATGAAATTGAATTGCATACATAGAAAAATACAAGTGACACTGAATTGACTATATCAATATTTCAGTTAAAATTTTAGACATAGTTCATTCATTGGAAACATATATATATATATATATCCATATATGAAAGAAATGACTTTTAGTCGAATTATTATCAATGCAAATTCTATTAAATTAAAAAATAATATTATTAGGTAGATTTACATATGTTTTTAAAAAAAAGAATAGTTTCGGTTTGTTGGTAAAAACCTCAGCAAGCTATTAAGAATCATTAGAAGTGTTGAATATAAAAACATTAGTTGCTGATATTATATACTAGCTTAAGAAAAAAGATTTCTTATTAATTCTATATTGTAATTCCGTACGCTTCTTCTCATCAAAATGATGCTAAATGGTGACTCATAATGTGAAGTGATATTTGACAACACACCATATTCGAGTTTTACCAGCTTTTCATGTAAGCTTAGAAAATTTACGATATTTATGAGTAGCTTCGAAGCTTTCATTTCATCCTACAAGCAATCTAATACACTTGACTTGACTGAACACAATCCGTTAGTATGAAAAATGCATCAAGTGCAGAGTAGCTAACAGCACGATTTAAACTCGTAGCCGCAGATAAATAACTAATAAAATGAGCGGTCAAAGCTTAATCCTTTGATTTTTTTAAACTGTAAATATTCACCAAGAAAACAAGATATATATATATATATATATATATATATATATATATATATATATTTCGCGGTACAATAATAAAAAACTGGTAGAATTTTTGACGTCGAATTCGTGTTTAGCAAGCCAAAGTTCATAAGAATACACGTATGGCACATGCTATTAATGTTTCTTTGAAACATTATGAACGATTGCCTTGCTGCGATTTGTTTCAGGAGTACAATATTTGTTAATGCTTTTTTTTTAATTCGAATATTCCGTTTCGTGTTCAGCAGCGATTGCAGTCAACCCGAGCACGCCGGAAGTGGTTATTTGATCGGACCGTTCGACTACGCGGTAAGTTCTCGCCGTTTTTAATGATTTTCGCCATTCACCTCGCACTAGTGTTCGCGCTCTCTCTCTCTCTCTCGCTCTGTTACGTGTCGAGCGAGCGCGACCTGCATGCAGAAGCTCGCGTTTTGTGCGTGTGCACACCGACGTGTTGGCTATCGCGCCGGGCGCATCGTCGTTTGTTTCACTGTGACGGCACGAGCAAATTATTCTCCCACGAAACAGCTTTGTCGTTCGGCAAAAATGGAATCTCGACTGGACGCTCTTGACTCTGTTTCCGGAAGCAGTGGGCGCGAGAAGAAGCGAAAAAGACGAAAATAAAATGCGAGCCGGGGGTCAGCAGCAGCTGTAGAATCTAACTGGCGCTAAATGAATTAGCTTAAAAAGCTCGGAGATGTTGGCGCGCTTTCTCGAGTTTTTTTATGGTGATTAATGCGAGAGCTGTCAAGCGAGGCGCATAATGAGGTCGACTCTAGAAAGCCGTTAATTTCAATTTGCTTCGACGGGATCAGAACGAACGCGACAATCGCAAGTGTGCTTCTCAGATATAGCTTACGTCGACCTCTCTTTCACTCTGACTTATCAAATTCGCGGCCTATGGCAATCCCTTTTATCAAAAAGGGGCGTACATACATCGTTTGACATGTCCATAGTATTTCGCGTGTCACAGAGATTTATTTGACTTTTACAAAGGCAAGATTGATGAACCGCTTCTCAGAGGTTTTATCTTGTTTTAAAAAACTCACCTCCAGCTCTCTCTTCTCTCTCTCTCTCTCTCTCTCTCTCTCTCTCTCTCTCTCTCTCTCTCTCTCTCTCTCGATCTCTGTCGGGACACGGGCTTTCTGACCCCTCACAAAAAGCACTGGCTGCAATAGTGCAGCGTGAAAAATGAAATGTTTTGATAGTATATTCGTGTTCTAGTTTGTTGTGGCCATACGGGGCCTCGGAATCGATAACGAATAACTCGTCGGACAGCTCAACTGTGTTGTTTGCTTTTCTCGAGTGTAGCACGATGTTTAATTATTAACAGCTAGGACTTTACCTGGTATTGGCAGGTAATTCAGACAATCTCTGCAATGTCTTATCTATACCTGTCAGATCGCGATAACCTCTGAAATATGATGCAGCTTTGAAAATATCTAACAGGGATTAGCTTTGATAACGGAAACCATTTGCATATCGTTTTATAGATTTTTTCATCAACCGAATTTTTATTTTTCTATAAATTACTTGAACCTGATGCACAATGAACAAAATAATAGCTTACTTTTTGTGTAAATAAAAATCAATAATCATCAAAAAAATTGTGAACAATAACCAACATGTAAAAATAATATATTCATTGCTAGAACCACTCCAATCAACGTATTAAAGCGTAATTTATAACGTGATCGCAAGTTTAAATTTTTTTAACATCACAGTAAAACATATCAACTTTTAATCTCGCAAAAGCTTTCGTGTGCCCATTTCCCAAGCTTTCTAAGTGGTGAACTATATAATGAAATGCTATTAAAAGCTCAAGCTACGTTTCTATTCCATGCTAGATTTTAAAATAATCACAATAGCCTCTCTTTTTCTTTTCTCTCTTTTCGTACAAACGATATCGATTAAACAATTCGCATTGATCTGCCTTTTCTGGTCAAATGAACTGGGCTTACTAGGCTGAGTACTTTTGCCATTTAAAAAGGCGAAACCACGAGGTCAGCCGCTATTTCCCAACTCAAACTTTTTTTGTTCGAACGTATCATATACTATTTTACATATAATTTTAATAATGTTGAGGAAACTAACTGAGGAAACTAAATTAGGAAACATCATAAAGTGTCATTGTATCATAAAAGATGACCCAAGTAAATAAACTTACAACATATGTATGTTTATTGCTATGCACTATATTGCTGACTTTTCCACATACATAGCAGAATGTAACGTGAACTTATACTTGAAATTTTTATTTGTTATTTTATAGAAAGTCGAAACAATAGTACTATTTCACTTTACTGTCAAGCCTTCTGTTATTTTTTTCTTATCTTGAAGGAAATAATAGAAATAACTATCATTTATACTCTATTTCAATTGATTTTTTATGAAAAGGTGATATAGAGTTCCAACGTCTGCAAAGACCCCATAGAAGCATAACGGCAACATAAAGTTTAAAACAACCTATTAATTACTTTCGCTGGTAGTAATAATTGCGTTTAATACACACGTACTATTGCTATAGACACTAATCGAAACATTGGAAGAGACGTGTCATTGATTTTTAAAACAACATACTAAATAAGTATCAGTAACTAAAGAATTTTGTGCATTATAAAAATATAGACGATTCGCGAAAATGTCGACGGTCATTACATCGAGATTATTAGGATTATGAATCAAATAAGGCTAATCAAAGAGGTTAAGAGGTTCATACACAATAAAAAGACTTACATGTATGGGATCTATGCGCAATAGAAACGACTCGTCTTGCTGTTTCGCTGCCATAGTTTTTTACGTTTCAAAAATCTTTGCTTAGATAAGTAATTAGCTACATGGAATAATTAAGAAAAATTTTTAGATATTCTAGGATGCTACCGATATTCTGTTCAACGTAAATTGGTTTTAAAAACGCGAATATCAAATTTTAAGCGTGTCGTATAGAAGTAGATACAATATTGACACTTTCGGTTTATTGTACACACTGGGGATGAAAAAACTCTACTGAATGCAGTCGAGATTACCAAAACTAGATCGGCGAATTTGTATATATGCGTATTTGAATTTCATATAATTGAATATATAAATTGCGTTTTAGTACATATTGCACACACGTGTTAGCTTCTGCTAAGTTATAATATACAACTTCAATCATAAATAAAATTTAATGTTTTCTTACTATTTGTGAAGGGGGTCAGTTAATGTTAAATAGTGAAAATTATAAGTTTTCTTGACTGTAAAAAGCGTTCTAATAACACCTATGATGTTTCATGATGACTTTATTAGAAATTTATCATCAAATTTATCAACATTTTTCATCTTGAAGTACTCAGTAAATGTTTTCATTTTCTTTTTTTTAAGTTTCAAAATCTCAATTAAGTGCCTTAGAAAGTCCTCTTAACTTAGCTGCCCGTCGTAAAAGTGATTTATAATTTTCGAGATGTCACGCTTCAAATCGGAGATTATATCTTTTGGTTGATGATAGTGCTATATGCGGACATTTTTATTTTTTCTTACGACCAAACTCATCGACTCTCGTGGAGCTACTGTCCCAGCTCAATCGACTGATAGCGTACATCGTCAAGCTTAAGAAAAAGAAAATCGACCAACTTAACACTTCCTAAGTTCTGCCTAACTTTCGATATTCGGAAAAAAAGACCAGCAGATTTATGTAGCTCGTTATTTGTATTGTCGGTCAATAAGCTCATCCCAGTATATTTGAGTAAACTTAGATTGCGAAGAAGTTTAACTATCATGAGTAATTCAAACTTGTCTTCAGCAAAAGCAAATTTTCAAATATAACTTTATTTCGAATCTGAGTGACTATTGAATCCAACCACTTTCGTCCACTGACATGTTCTGTAAATACCATTTAAATAATTTGATGAATATAATATGTTATTTAAAATAGAAGTCGCAAGAGACTATCCACTTCAAACGATATATTGACACTTGGACAAAAGTTACAAGTATTGATATAAAATCAATTAATAAAAACACTACAGATGCAGGTCAAGTGCTGGCGAATCAACAACAGTTAGGTATATCTTTCACTGGTAGTCTCGACATCGTATATTCCTAGGTGATGCTGTCTCAACGATAAATACAACGAAGCGCTTGCCGCAGAGACCGCAGACGTCCTACAAAAGTCAAAACTGATCGTCAGAACGCTTTCATCGAGAAATCCGGCTACTGATGGTTCTGGTTTACTTTCCTCAAGTTTGGCAGAAATAAGGGATTCAATCTCAGATGAAAGCGATAATTGTTATATTATTTTCGTATTTATTATTAAAAATATTGTTCATATTACATACAGAATAAATAATGCCTACTTGAAGTGGAACCATATTCCTTCGTGACAAGATAATATATCATCCTAGTTAATTCTTTTACAATTTTCCTTTTTAATTCTGACTGTAAATAGGTATGTACATGTGTTCTTTTTTTTAAAGAGAGTGAATAACGTATTTCAGAGAAAGTTTTTCGTTTAGATGTAACAAAATTTGTTTTTTATAAATTAATTTAAAGTATCTAACAGCAAGAATTGTACTTAAATATTTACGTTACCATTTATTCAGTAAATGCACCGCTCATTTTTATAGTTTATTTGTATTTAGTACTTTATAGGGAATGTTTTAATTATTTCTGCTTTGTTACATCCAAACGATAATAAAAAGGTATGACTTTCATTATTATTTATTGACGATTGAAACCAAAAACACAAGCAACAATACATTGTTTAATCTTTTTAAATAAATACAATGTATGTTTAGTTTTGAGAGTATGATAATTTTTATTACGGTACAAAAGAATAAATAAATATTTGTATTTAAGATTATGTGACTATAATATATCATGTAACTTTAACTAAAAAGTTATTTTATCAATTCTCAATAAACATTTTAAATAATAATTTTTTTCATATAACATAAAATCGATTATCATAATAATTACGCTGAAACTTATTTCATTGAATAAATAAATTGATGTTATTTTATCTTAGTCCTTTCTAAAGTTACCATTAGACAAAATTCTCGTGAAAGATAAGTTATCACGGTAAATTCGCGAGTTGGTCATTAAGGAGAAAGAAAATCGAGTCTGGAAAGCGGGGAGTTTGAAACGTTGTACTTAGTTTCGTCTCTTGCACGCGGTTAAATCTATAAATCTCGCCTTTTTTGTCGAGAGTCAAGTTACGACTAACGTCTTGGTGCAGTGTTTGAATAAAAAGTCTGAATAAAAATTCATGCTAGCTTAGAATGTATATTTTACGTCTCTTTGCGTTCAAACCTGCTTGGCTGACTTTATTAAAATCTTTTTGCATTGTAATTCACGAATATAAGTAATTACTCGTAATCGCGCATTTACGGAATTTCCGATAAATATTGCTTTAAATTATATTACTTTATATGAAAATTATTTAAAATACTGCTATATAAACTATTCACAAATATTCTCTTCAACCGCAAAATGTTAGAAAAATGGAAAATGGTCAGCAATTTAATTATATTAATGAAAATTTTATGATTAGTTTGCGAGAAACATAAATTTCTATATCAATAACTCCCGAACATCTGACGTTTTTGAAAAACCGATTAAGGTACTACCAAAGTTTATTACCAAAAAATAAAGAAATTAGAGTTTTCATTAGAAATCTACCTTGACAATCTTTCAATGTGAAAATTAAATTTATAAATTCATATTAAATTTATATACTTAATAATTATAAAAAAACAAAGGTTTCTTCGATAACTAACGTAAACTTGATTATCTTCAATCGAATAAAACAACTAGAAGTCGAATACTGAGGAGAATAAGGAATTACATGAGAACTGGCAGAAGAGGTGTAGAATTATAGGGTGTAATTTGTTCCTACTACGCCAACCGAGAATACAAATTAAGAAAAGCAAAAGGCCAACTCACCTCTTGGAAAAGTGATTCAGCAGCTTGCCAAGGCTGCGAAAGTAATGAGGGGTAGTCACGTATATGTAGGCAGGCTTTGCGTCGTTACTGTACTCACGACTCGATACGTGATTGTACAGATCGGCAGTGACGTTGTCAACCGTCGAATTGAGTAACATCCCCCACCTTATCTAACCGGAGCATTACCATCATTTCGATTAGTTCAGTTATAATTTAACATTTCACACATGCGAATGAAATATTTGAAAACAATCTCTTTCTGATTACTCACATAACTGAAGCTCTCTTGCAGATACGAAAGGTTATAAGGCTCATAGATACGTTGATCAATGTCGATCCAATTATAAATGTCTTTATATCTCGGGTATATCTAAAATAGAACGAATGTACATTGATTAATAGATGCATAATAAAAAGAAAAGTAGGCTACAAATGTGACGTCCATAATAAATTATACACTTTCAATCACGCTTCTACCCTATAATGAATATATTGCAATGATGTGCTCATTAAAAATAATATACTAACATTCACAAAGTCCTTCATTCAATTTGTATAGATAACACCAATGAAAACTAAAAACATAACGATCTATATGAACCAAATGAATTGTAATATTGTACTATTCTGCACACAACAACAATGTCTATAAAATAACAACTCATAGAATTTACGAGCGTGACTTTTGGTTGGCGTTAGTTAAAGGAAAAGAAGCTCGTAAATAAAATCTGAGCTTTTTCTCCTTTGCAACAGCCAAATAAATGTACGTCTATTTGTTTACCTTGTTGAGTGCCAAACAGATCTGAAGTAGCTGATCGGCCTCGGTAGATCTCGCCTTGGGTTCCATATCGCTGGGTATCAGGCCTTGAATGATCTTCTGTATTCTGCGCGAGCGCTTCTCTTCCCTGTCATTCTGCAACGCGAGAGAAAAGAGCTTGAGACAACGCGAATAAAGTCAAAGCGGAGCCAGCCGATAAAGCCAATTTTTCACGTTCCCTCTCGGCACGCGGCGGAAGCGTCGCCAAACGGAGCGTCTCTCACTCTCGCTCTCTCTATCTCTCGTTGTATTTTCTTTTCCTTCTAGCCTCCCTATTCATTTGTACGTATATACCTAAGACACGTGGGACGATTTTACTGGCGATCGGCCAATACGCCTGTCGTCGTCACCGTAGGGAGTTTGCAGCACCCCAATTCCCGCGAGCTTATCCGCGAAATAGGTTTCAAGACAGCCCACTGCAGCTTCGAAAAGTAATACCGTGAGGTCTGCCATAACTACCACTACATCACGAGAAATGCCCACCTACTGATAGCTGCATGTTCTATCCTTCATACGAGTCACAGTGTGCTCCGCCGTCGCTTCGAAATAACTCTCAGGATTGAAAATTCTAAATATTCGATCAAATTCTCCCTATTTAATATTTTCTTTCATTTTTTGTTAATGATGATCACGCGTCATTATGGTGAATAGTAAAAGTTGCGTCGTTTTACGTTGAATACAAACTGACTGTTTTTAATACCGACATTTGAGTTCATTTCTTTTTTTACGCGAAAAACATATTTAATCTTACGTGTATAGGTACGAATATATTGTGGATTTGAATAATTTTCGAGAAAAACTAAGAATTGGACATTCACTATTTGAAAACCTTGAAGTCATATTTGTACTCATTTTGTCATATTTTATTACAACTCTTGCAAGAGAATAGATCAAAAGACATACAGTTCGAATGAGTATAATTATTTTTTCAAATAATAAATATTCGTCCTACGCGAAGAAGAATAATAACCATAAAATTGAAACAGTAATAATTGTGACATTTAATTGACAGATAATAGAATACGGTTATCCGATACATTCACGTTGTACCAGATAAAGCATTAATGAACACTTGTTCGACCAGAATTCTAGTTTGGATTGACAGGTTTTTATAAGAACAATGCGACAGAGCACAGCACACAAAAACTGAAAATCAGAAGATTATCGTCTTATAAATCAATTAAATAATCACAATAAGAAAGGAAGTCGTATATATAACATCGGAGTAAATTTAATTAATCTCTCGGCTGGTATATAACGTCGATTATTATAATTTTTTAATTGATTCTCCTGCAAGAATAGCAATAAATATTCTAAAGTAAATACAACTCGGGCTTCCACGTTTTCGAACAAAAAATCTTCAATTTTTAGTTTTTGTTGAAAATTATTGAAGTTAATAATCTATTCGCATCAGACTAAATGTTTTTTGTGCAAAAAACAAGACTCAAAAGCAACTCAAATGTCGATATTAAAAAAAACTAATTATCCAAATTACTGATAAATTTCTTTTCTTAGTAAAAATGCATTTGAATATTTAAATTTACGGCAAATATTGTTTTGAGTGGCCGAAAATAGCAAGATTATTCGTACATTACCAGATAATACTCAAATGGAAATTTATTTCAACACACCAAGGTTCTCGGATATTAAAATTTCCAAAGACTCGTATTGATTTTGTAAAATTTCCTTGGATGAGATTGATATGATTTATAATGATTAATGTCCCAGTCGAAGACGAGTATAACACTGATTTGAAAACTTTATTTGTCTCCGAAAGTCTCAAATCCCACAGATGAGTTATTGCAATGATTAACGCCACGAACAAAAAAGGTGCTCGGGAGCAATTCCGTAGTTCACGAAGCAGAAGTCCAACTTCTTAGCCTTTTCTTAATTTCAATGGATTTGGCGTCTTTGATACACTTTCCGACAGCTACACAGAGTTTTGCTGATGCTAGCGCATCGTGGCGTCGCGACGCCAAGTTAAAAATTTCGAAGAGCAAACTTTACCCACCTTGGGAAATTTGCTCGTCTTCTCTCGTTTACTTTTCTCGTTTTTCTCGCCTTTTTATTCGTTTAACGCTCTTGGTGAGCTCGTTCGAACGTCATTGTCGTGTAAGCTTGCAACCACTTCTAGAATTTAAAATTGTTTGGTCAACCGCGCATCAACTTTACTTGATCCAGCGTGAAGAAGATATTAGCTGAATACGCCTGCTGATTTTAAAATGTGAAAATTGCTCCATGAAACTTTCACTTTGTTATGCGTCTTGTAAAGCACGAAAGATCAAGAGATGAATTCTTTGAGTCATTTCTTAGTATTAATTTAAAATTAACATTTGTTTAAAATGCTAATTGGAATAATTGTTATAATCTTCAATTTGTTTATATATATAATTAGAGCATTGTAGCAGTAGAATAAAAGTATTTTATTTTATTTCATATTTTGTAAATCTACTTGTTCAAAAATTGTATTGAATCACTTAAATATTAGAGTTGTTATAGTTCAAATACTGAGTAGACATTAACATAATACTTCACAATTTTCCGAAAAACTTGACGAATAGCCAATAAGTACCAAGTAGCATTAAATACTTCATGGACACGGCGTCGATTAATCTTTTTTACGAGTTGAAAGGTTATTCATAAAAGCAATAACGGAGTATTGATATAATGCATCTGCAAGCTCGACCAACTCTCTCGTTTTCTTATCTTATTTTCTGGTCACTAAGCACCCAACTTGTACCGTGTTTGGCACGAATGAGTAAAACATAACTCTCAGTAATCTATGATACAGTTATTTAAATGTTCAATAGGGATTGCCAAGTTTGCAAGCGACTTATAAACTTCAATATCGCTTTAGATCAAACTCATTCTTATCGCTTGCGCGCGCCGAATAAAGTTATCGCAAGCAGAGACAAGAAGGTTAACTTCTGTAAAAGGAAAAATATTTCATCAGAACCGGCTTAAGTAGTTCTCGGAAGCTGCGCTTTGTTATAAGAAAAAATGCGACCGAATTTCCATAGAGAGTGTAGCAATTAGAGCTAATGTCACATTGGTCTATGCTTATTCAATGATCTTTTTATTCATCTCCGTTTGTTTTAACACGTGTCTATTAGTTTTCAGCCTGTAGCGAGAAGATTCATAAATTGAACCATATAATTTCTCGTCACAGTCGTGTGCAAACCATGTTGCCCGTCAATCCCGGCAACCGACACAACGGTCTTTGCAAGCGACAGCAGAGCTATGATAAAGTGGAGAGAGACACGAGGCAGTGGCGCACACGTGCTTCGCGCGCAACTGCCGATTTCCATCGGACTTTCGACAGGCATTGGTTACGTTTTCTTTTAAACTCATTCTGTGAAAGCTCTCATTGTTTACATACTGAAGTGGTCATCTTTTCCCTCAATAATCGGTGTTTTGAATAACATTTAATAATTATTCTTCCTACTTCCTCGTCCAAAAGGAATTATTACGCGTTCATCGGTAAAGCACGTCCTTTCCCATTTTCGTCCAAGGCTGGCTTATCAGGTGAGATCGACGAAAAAAGATGAGCTTACCGTCAATATTACAAAACCTTACTGAACCGAAGCAATTTGGTTACTTTTAAAATACATGGATAATTGTTAAATAATTATGCACCATTACAACAAATTTTATTTCTTCAAATTCAAAAAGCTTTTACATAAGGAAATTATATTTTAATCAACTCTATTTATTATGAAAAATGAGAAAATGTTTATACATGCCATATCTATCACTCAGATTCAAATTAAATGTTTAATTCAGTACAAATAAATTGAATAAATGCTTATTTATTTTTTTTTTAATTTGGATGAAATGGTTGGAATATAATAAAAAAGTTGAAGAGAAAAGGCTTGAAAATATGGAAACATGTATTTATATTTTAACTAAAAAATATTACTATCGAAAGAATGAAATCTGGCATGGTACATGAATGGTGAATGAGCCAAAAACTCTCCTTTTGTGTTTATTTTGAGCAGTAATATCGGTGCATCGCCAGCCGCGTGTAAAATTTACAATTTTACAAATACTATCAACTTGAATGATAACATCACAATGTACCATGGGATGAAAACATTTGATCCAATTTTATGTTGATAGTCCGATTATCGCCAAATAATACGACAGGTTAATACTAATTTAAAAAAATATAAGTTTGAAACAGAGAGATTATAGCCTTTTTTCTGAAATCATCACCTTCTTGTGTCAATGTTCAAAGAGAATAAAAATTGCCGTTTGATTTTATTCCGATAATTCACTCTTGTATAAATTGTAAATCACTACATTTTAAAGGTTTTTTTTGCACTTGAACATGAAATTTGCTAATATGTATCTTCCAATTAAGTTAAATGACTTTGTAATCATACAATGATGTTACACAGATGACTTGGAACATATTTATCTCATGATCACAGTGTTCATAGGCACGTGAATCTCTCATCGAATATAATTATGGTGATTTCAGAAATTCAATATTTAGTATGACGGAATACAATAACCACCAGAACCATTCAATTTTCGAATAGAAGATTCGACTGAAGATTAAATTTTGTTAAAGTGAGATGATAAAAAAGTATAGTTGTGTACTTCCCATTCTGTAACTATATATTGAGAGCTAAAGGACTAATTGAGCGCACCATAGAGAACGTGAGAGTACAGGCCTCTTCGCGCGCAGTTTATACGATCTACGTAAACTCAGTTGGCGCGACACAGTAGCAGCTACTATAGCTTCATATTCATGCAGCTAGAGAGGGAGAGATAGAGAGAGAGAGAGAGAGAGAGAGAGAGAGAGAGAGAGAGAGAGAGAGAGAGAGAGAGAGACATACAGAGAGAAAGCACGCAAGCTTAACGACACACGAATAAACATCGCAAGTATAGTCGAAAGCCGCAGATGTTCACAATTAAGCTCTACTCCTCCTTTCCCCACGACAAATCGACTATTTGGCTTTATGATTCAATGTGCGCTAGCCGACAGATCCAGATTTTGTACACACGCAGTGCGCTCCAACTGATGCGGGGATGTACGTGAAAAGCTTGATCGAGATAAAGCTCTTAGTTGAAAGAGCAGTTACAAAAGC